TTGAGGCTCTGTCTCAAAAAAAAAAAAAAAAAAAGAAAAAAAAAGAAAAGAATCCTTACACCAAACCAACCACTGGGAAAAACCTACTGCCCCAAATGACTTAGGTCCCCCAGTCACAGATCCATTTCAGTAACTGTCAAGCGCCTCTTATGTGCCTAGTTAAATATAGTGTAAACACTTGCAAAACCTCAATGTTTAATTTTTATCCACTATGTGTATGTAAGTTTCTGGATATGCTTATATAATACTAGCTTTAAAAAATTATACATCTCGGCTTGGCGCCTGTGGCTCAAGGGGCTAAGGCACCAGCCACATACATCTGTGCTGGCGGGTTCAAATCCAGCCTGAGCCCACCAAACGACAATGGCGGCTGCAACCAAAAAATAGCCAGGCATTGTGGGGGGCACCTGTAATCCCAACTACCAGGGAGGCGGAGGCAAGAGAATAGCTTGAGCCCATGAGTTGAAGGTTGCTGTGAGCTGTGATGCCACAGCACTCTACCAGGGTGAGACAGTGAGACTGTGACAGCTTGAGGCTCTGTCTCAAAAAACAAACAGACAAATTATACATCTGGGCTCCGCGCCAGTTGCTCAGTGAGCAGAGTGCTGGCCACAAATACTGAGGCTGGCAGGTTAGGCCCAGCCCAGGCCTGCTAAAACCACAATGACAACTGCAACCAAAAAATAGCCAGGTGTTGTGGCAGGTGCCTATAATCCCAGCTACTACTTGGGAGGCTGAGGCAAGTGAATTGCTTGAGCCCAAGAGTTGGAGGTTGCTGTGAGCTGTGATGCCGCAGCACTCTACCAAGGGCGAGATAGTGAAACTGTCCCCCCCCCAAAAAAAAAAAAAATTATATATCTCCACACTAGTCTCAAAAAATGAGTTCCACCTCCCTTGAGTAGGCATTCATAAACCTAGAAAGTTTTTAAATAGGTAAGCCAACTGCATTTCTGCAACTCGAACATTTAAAAGAACGTGCAGAAGCTGATGGCAAAAGACCTATTTCGACGATGGAATTTGCACTGTCCGTGCTTTTGAATGAGTATAAATAAATGCTCGTTTATCATTTTCTGCTGAGTTAACACCTATCTGAGGTTAGAAATCGCGTTTCCTACAGGGCTCCCATTCACCACTGCAGAACAGCTCCCTCCTGACTGTTCAGAAACCCTTTTAACATTTCTGTAACACTTATCCTAGGGCTGGAGAGAGAGTTTTAAGAAAAAAGATAATAAGACAAGTGATCACTTCTAAGTGAAAGAGCAGGTTATCCACAGGAGAAGAAATAGAGGCAGAGAGGGAAGGACAGTCACGCTATAAAATTGTTTGAAAAGAGAAATGAAATCAAGAATTAAAAATAGAATTACATTTTCTACTTGGCAATACACAAACACCACTAAGTGCACTTCATAAATTTTACTATTGTTGCTCTCAGTGATGTTACCATAAATCATATTTGTAGCGTCCTTGGCTTTTTTAAAAGCAAAAAATGAGGGACAGTGCCAGAAAACTGAAACAGCTCTGTCACCTCGAAGAGCAGGACAGAAATGACTGCAGAGTTTCCTGGGTTGAAAACCCAGTTCTGATCCTTCCCCCAGCTCCACGCTACCCCGAGCCTGGGTGCAGCAGAGTTGCCAGCGACCTGTCAGAACAGAGAGAGGGTCACGGACGCGCTTTACCTGGTGTGTCAGGGGAGAGGCCCGCTTGCCCCTTTTGTCATCCCGGACGGGAAACAGAGACTTCAGGAGCTTTGGCATCTGTGGCACAAAGGACTTCACTGGATTCAAGTAGGAGGCTGCTAAGCTACTGTGTCCTGTCAACACATTGAAAGGAAAAAACTGAGACAAAAATTACAAAGACATCTCCTTTCCTATCTGCCAAATATCATTTATATGCAATTTTAATAACATAAATAAAAAAGGCATCCTTAAAAAAATAGTATCAGAGAAACAGTATTATTCTAGTTATCTCAAATACAATGTTTCCTTTTCCTTTTAAACAGCAGTAATCGGGGCACCTGTAAAACTTTCTACCATGCAGGGTTCTCATCAGTATGGAAAGGGTAGCCGCCCTGTCCCTGTCACTAACTGGAACAAGTACTAACTTTGCCCCAGACCACAACAGGATCTGATTTTTAAGTCACACAGCAGTGACGCACAAATATAGCTATCTGTCTAGACTTCAGGCTCTATGTTTTATTCAATTCTAATTTTTCGTAAGTATTTACTGAAGAAAGATGATGAAATTGACCTTTTGGGGAAAGGGTGGAGTTTGAGTTGTTTGTTTTGAGGGACAGACACTCTCAACTATTCACGTGCTTACCTGTCGTTAATTATCAAAGGTTGGAATCAAAGGTACGGATCATACCTATGATACTGATCTCTTTCCCGCCAACTAATTTACAGTAAACTCTAGTTCAAGTCATAAATGACAAAAAGCTGGATCCACATAACGTGTAAAAAGCACAAGCAAGTTGCCTGGAGGAACATGTGTGTCCTGCCACAAGGGACACACACAAACCCCAGACAGCTGCTCCACGCGACCCCGAGGGACTCACACTCACGGGCAGTGTGACGGGTAAACACAATCTGGCTGGGAGCTTTCTGCATTTTACATAAAGCACTGTAATGTGAACGCTGAGTAGCAGACGGTGAAAGGGTAAGGACGCCTGCACATACTGTAACTGTGGGAGCAACCACCCAAACCGAAACCAAGGCAGAGGGACGGCTGCAGTGCCAAGGGGACAAGGGGACAACTGAGTGGAGAGAATTGAAATAATTCACAAGGTGAAAACAGGGAAGAGAGAAACAAAAGAGGGAACACAAACAGAAAACAAATTAAGTTGAACAGAAAAACAGAAAAATATGATCATCTGAATACTGAGAAAAAGTACAGGCAACCCGGAGTTCTGCATCAGGTGAGACTTGACATCCCCGAGTAAGGACCATCCCGATACTCAAAGGCCGCGTGTCATTCTGCGTCTCCACCTCCCCACTGAACCCTGACGCCTGAATCTGACCAAGGATCTAGACCTAACTACCACAAGGCACGGGGCATCGTGCTTAGACAAACTCATGGGCACGCAACCAGCAAAAAAGTAAAAATGTACAGAGCGTATCCTGGGCAAGAACCTGGCTCCCTGGACCAGCCCACTGCATAAGAACCAGCAAATACAGGGCACGACAGTGAAATATTTCTCAGCAATAAAAAAATAAATTACTGATGTAAGCAACAGCTTGGAAACTTAAACACATACGGTGAGAGGAAGAGCCAGACACGGGAGGAACACGTGCCACAGAGCTCCACGTATCTGAAACTGCAGAAACGACCCAGAGCAGCAGAATCAGACACCAGCTGACAGCGGTGAGGGAGGAGCAACCAGAGTCAAGTGCGTGATCTAGATCCTGAGTGGGGCGCAAGTTACATAAACGTACATAAATACACTCGGCAAGCTTATTAAGGACGACCCACAGTCAACAAAACAGGAGTCAATAAAAACGGACCAAGGCAAGGTCCCGCCCGATGCTGGAGGCAGCAGAGACTTCGAGACGGCTTTTCTAAACAAGTCCCAGGATGCAAAGAAGAATATGGTCTTCACAAGTACACAGACAGGGAACATCAGCGGAGAACGTAAAACATTAAAAAAAAAAAAGTAGCAAATGGGAATTCTAGAACTAGGAAAGAATAACTGAAATCAAAGTCTGTGGATAAGAGAAGAAAGAACCTTACACTCCCACGTTTACTGACGCCTCTTCACAACAGCCAAGATCTGGAATCAACCTACATGTTCTCAATAGGTGAATAAAGAAGCCGGGATAGGCCAGGCACGGAGGCTCACGCCTGGAATCCCAGCACTCTGCGAAGCCGAGGCGGGTGGATCGCCTGAGCTCACGAGTTCAAGACCAGCCTGAGCAAAAGCGAGACCCTGTCTCTACTTAAAAAAAAAAAAAAAAAAAAATAGAAAAACTGAGTCAAGAGAATCCTTGAGCTCAAGTTGGAGGCTGCTGTGAGCTATGATGCCACAGCACTCCATCCCGGGTGACAGCTTGAGACTCTGTCTCAAAAAAAAAGGAAAGAAACTGTGATAAACGTACACACAGAATATTATACAGCCACAAAAAGAGTAAAATCCTGCCAGTTCCAACAACACAGATGGACCTGGAGAACACCGAAATAAGCCAACCAAAGAAAGACAAATCTCGCATGTTCTCACTCAGATGTGGGAGCAAAATGTTAAAACCAATCCATCTGGTGGAGACAGAGGGTGGAACCATGGGTACCAGAGACTGGGAAGGGTAGCGGGAAGGGGATGATAAGTGGGGATGGTTAATTGGTGCATAAATACGGTTAGGTAGAATGAACGGCATGTGATAGCACGAGAACGTGACTATAATGAACAGTAAGTTAGAATATACTTTAAAAGAAAGGAACGAGGCTTGGCGCCTGTGGCTCAAGCAGCTAAGGCGCCAGCCACATACACCTAAGGTGGCGGATTTGAATCCCCAGCCCGGACCCGCCAAACAACAATGACGGCTGCAACCAAAAAAAAAAATATATAGCCGGGCGTTGTGGTGGGCGCCTGTGGTCCCAGCTACTTGGGAGGCGGAGGCAGGAGACTCGCTTGAGCCCAGGAGTTAGAGGTTACTGTGAGCTGTGATGCCACAGTACTCTACCCAGGGGGACAGCTTGAGGCTCTATCTCAAAAAAAAAAAAAAAAAAAGAGAGGAACGAGAATGTTCTTAACACAAAAAAGTGTTAAATGCCTGAGGTGACTGATTAACTCATACTGGGTGCCTGTATCAGAACATCACACGGACCCCATAAAGATGCACAACTACTGGGTAGCTCAAGCCGCTAAGGCACCAGCCATATACACCAGAGGTAGCGAGTTCAAATCCAGCTGGGCCTGCCAAACAACAATGACAACTACAAGCAAAAAATAGCCGGGCGTTGTGGTGGGAGCCTCTAGTCCCAGCTACTCGGAAGGCTGAGGCAAGAGAATCACTTAAGCCCAGGAGTTGGAGGTTGCTGTGAGCTGTGACGTCACAGCACTCTAGCACTCTATACCCAGGGCGATAGCTTGAGGCTCTGTCTCAAAAAAAGAGATGCACAACTACTAAATATTATGCACTCATAAAAAATAAAATAAAATAATTTTAAAAAGAAAACCAGTATCAACACAGCAGACATGTCAATGAGGAGGGCAGACGTCAGGGGCTAATGAAGTGTGGCCGTTAAAAGGCAGAAACTGTCAGACTGGACTCAGCTATATGCCGTCAAGAGAACAATCGCTTTCAGTCTAAGGACAAATGTGGGCTAAAATGTAAAACACTAAGAAAAAGATACGCCATGCAAACAATAAGAGGAAGATGGCAGCGCCCGTACCACAGCTCAGTCCGCAGGGCGCCAGCCATGTACATGGAGGGCGGCGGACTCGAACCCAGCCTGGGCCAGTTAAAACAACAATGACAACTGCAACAACAACAACAAAAAGAGCTGAGCATTGTCGTGGGTGCTGTAGTCCCAGCTACTTGGGAGGCTGAGGCAAGAGAATAGCTTAAGCCCAAGAGTTGGAGGTTGCTGTGAGCTGTGACGCCAGGGCACTCTACCCAGGGTGACAGCTTGAGACTGTCTCCAAAAAAAAAAGAAGAAGAAGAAGAAGAGAAAGTTGAGGCATTTATACTAATGCAGCGGTTCTCAACCTGTGGGTCGCAACCCCTTTGGGGGTCGAACAACCCTTTCACAGGGGTCTCCTAAGACCATCCTGCATATCAGATATTTACATTACGATTCATAACAGTAGCAAAATTACAGTTGTGAAGTAGCAACGAAAATAATTTTAAGGTTGGGGGGGGTCACTACAACAGGAGGAACTGTATTAAAGGGTTGCAGCCTTAGGAAGGTTGAGAACCACTGCACTAAGGACAGGCAAGATAAATTTCAAGATCAGAATATTTCCAGAGATAAAAAGGGACTTTCATGATAAAAAGGTCACTCCATCAGGAAGACACAATAATCCTAAATGTGCAGGTACCGATGAGCAGTTTCTAAATGAACGAGCAAAAACGGAGGTCAAGGGAAATGCAGGCAATTTTCACAGTCATATTTGGGTATCTACTGTGCTGTCAGGAATAGAATAGGCTCCCCAAATCAGCAAGGCTCCCCAAATCAGCAAGGATACGGACGATCTGAACAAGGTCATCAACCACACTGACCTATGATATATGGAGAATATTATTATGTCCCCCAAACACAACAGCACACACAGAATGTTCACCAACCTGGGACAAAAATACATTGCAGAAATTTTCAGAGCCTGAATCATCCACAATTCTGTTCTCTGATCATAATGAAATTAAATGAGAAATGATTACCTAGAAAATGTCTCCAAACATACAAAAGTGAATTAATATGCTATTCTATAACCCAAATGTCGAAGAAGAAATCACAGGGAAATTCTGAAATATTCTTCATAGTATGATAACAAGCATAACCAAAATACGGGAAATAGAGAAATTTTAAAAATCAACAAAATAGAAAATGAAAAGAACGAAGCCAAAAGTTGGTTCTGTGAGAAGATCAATACTTCTTTTCTTTTCTCTTTTTTTTTGAGACAGAGCCTCAAGCTGTCCCCCTGGGTAGAGTGCTGTGGCTTCACAGCTCACAGCAACCTCCAACTCCTGGGCTCAAGCGAGTCTCCTGCCGCCGCCTCCCAAGTAGCTGGGACCACAGGCGCCTGCCACAACACCCGGCTATTTTTTGGTTGCAGCCATCATTGTTGTTTGGTGGCCCGGGCTGGATCCAAACCTACCACCTTAGGTGTATGTGACTGGCGCCTTAGCCGCTTGAGCCATAGGTGCCGAGCCAAGATCAATATTTCTTGATAAACGTATCCCTAAAATATTCAAGAAGAACAGAAAGAAAATAAAAATGACGAATATCAGAATAAAAAGCAGCAGCATCACAGGAGATCCTATAAATACTAAGAGAATAAAAGGGCAATACCGTGACATGTATGAAAATACATTTAAGGCTGGGCATGGTGGCTCATGCCTATAATCCCAGCACTCTGGGAGGCCGAGGTAGGCGGATGGCGGAGCCCAGGAGTCTGACATACCACAGCGCCCTACCGAGGGTGACAAAGTGAGACCCTGTCTCAAAAGGGAAATTTAATAATCCAGATGATATAGAAAATCCCTTAAAAAAAACATAACTTATAAAAACTGACTCATAAAAAGAAACATCTCGATGACACTATCTTAAAGAAACTCAAGTTGTAATTTAAAACGTTCCCACAAAGAAGATTCCAGGCCCAGAATCCCACTGCGAATTCTGTTAAACATGTGACAAAGAAGAAATACCAATCTCACATAAACTCCTCAGGAAAAAAGATGAGGACAAACACCTCCCAAGCCATTTCGTGAAGCCAACGCAATCGTGGTAACAAAACTGAACAAAGACGTGAATTAGAGAAAATAAGAAATCTCAGACAGACACTCATCATAGAGCACACGCCCCAAAATCCTCAATAACACGGGCAATGTGAAGGACAGTGCACCCCAAGAAGTGGCATTTACCAGAGGAACCGAGATAAACTCAACACTCCCCACATCGATGAAACGCAACATAGTAAGTCAAGAAAGGGGAGAGAGAATTCGGCCGGACGCTAACTAGCAGAAGGGTGGCCACCTGGCAGGAAACCCTCCCTAAACCCTCAGAGACGCTCACGCTTCCTGACCGCGGTTGACAGATGAAAAGACGACTTACCTGGATCCGGAGAATGGTTATTTTGGGGACAGACGGCGAGGGTGGGGGAGACTGGAGCAGCTCCTCTGGACACTGTTGTCTGGGATACATCCTGCTGACTTTCCCACCGGCCCTGGGACGGACAAAATTGGTCATTGCATTTTGAATTGATTGATTATGAAAAAAATTAAAAGATACATGTACTGCATATTCCAGAAAAAAACAGTTACATATTACTAAAGCTTACAGAACATGGCAAGTCTGAGTATATCAGCACATTTCTTCTTATACTTATTAGGGAAATTAATACAACAAGCAAGATAATAACAACAACACCCCAAATTTGGATCTCCCCGCTCTTTACAACTCCTGGCAAGCTCTACCCTAACATTCTTTCTATACTTGTATGTACATCATGTTGCCTCCCCAGAAAACATGGACATGTAAGGGTGTCCCCTTTCCTTAACCCCCCTCAAGTTCTGCACACGAGGCCCTTTCTGCTCTCCTATCTCCCCCTTCCGCACTCTGCTTCTGCACTGGAACCAGAGCAGAGGTGTCAGCAGAGGGGCCTCGCCCAGCAGTGTGAGTTGCCATCCACTCACACACCGTACATAAAAGTTAAAATTCCTACATAGTGTACCACTAAGGCTCTCGTTTTTAATAGCTATCAAACATAAATTCCAGTTAAACCCACATCAAACAATCACAAGTTCTCAATTATGGAAGTCTCTGAATTCACACACTTTATCGTATTTTTCATCAACGTATTTTGTAAACTCCCAGTAAAGAGATTCCATCAATTGGCAGGTTAAAATCCATCCCTCAAACTCATGGTGAGCCATAAAAACGGTGATGCCATGAAAGCCCCTTTAGTGTTAGCCCCATCTAATAAAGAAATAAACCCCACCCAGATGTTACTTGTACAAAATTCAGTAAGAGATGAGCTCTAGATCATTTAAATGTTTTAAGTTCCCTTTGATCCTCCGAAAATCCCTAACTTCTTTTTCGATAAGAGTCTAATGATAATATGTAACGTGAATTTAAGTGAGCATTTTACAGATGAATGACCCTAACGATTAACTCAAGTTTTCTTTACTAAGTGCCTGAAAATCAGGAGGGCACAGCCCCTCCTGGAGAAGGATGGAGGTGGGAAGGCTTCTTGGGCTTCAGCTTTTAGAAGCAACTCAGTACTGATCACAAAAATCAATAAGCCCTAAGGGATCTGGATCCTGATCACCGCAGAGCACTCTTTTCCCCCAGGAACTCTCAGCCTTTGATAATGTTTTCTAAAATGCTATGATGTTGGGCCCTCACCAGGAAACCCGGAGAAGGAGCTAGGTGTGAGCACGCAACCCACAAAGCCGAACTCTGAGCCACTTCACTGGGGAGCCCGGGGTTGCCAGGAATCTCGCTGACGTATGTATTTAGGGTTTTGTTAATGTTTTTGCGTTTAAATTTAATGATCTGTCTGGGGCTCTGTGCAGTCTGAGATCTCACAATCAGGTGACTGGCACCAAGGTCCATAATCTTTGGAGTTTCCCAGAGGAAGAAAAGCCCTTGCTTCATTTGAAAATAAATGTATTTTCATACTTTAGATCTTCTACCTTGTTCGGCAGCTGCCACAGTCACAGTCTGTCCCTTAGAAAAACTAAGTAGCTGACGGGGAGTCGGCACCTGGACTGTCGGGGGACACAGAACAGGCGAGTGACAAATCAGGCGGGTGTCAGGGCACACCGGGGCTCTGCAGCTTCAGGGTAATTTCTCCCAGCGGGCATCCCATACCTGATGTTACTACCACACCAGACAGAAGCAGGAACTCTGACGGTCTCACACACTCAAATATTCCACGTGAGAACCTCTGAAAGGCCGCACATAACACAGATCCCGCCATGGCCCATCAGATTATGCAAAATAGAGACATGGCTCACGTCTGCTCTCTTCCTTAACTGTCACCTTGACCTTGGGAACGGCACCTGCTCTCTGCTCCTGGGTCTCACTGCCCAGAGACAGGAATCTCAGATCGCTCTGGGATAGAGTGGGCTCCACTTCAGAGGAAAAAACAATCTGGCAGATAAACTGAGTGCGACCCCTGTCCCTTCTCCAGCTGACACCCACGGGCCCCTGGGGAGGCACCTGTGGAACCACGTCCCATCCTCCCTTCCGTGTGGCCCGTCTACTTCCCGTGCCAGACGTGAGATGTGGTTCAGGGTCTCCCTACAGAGACTGTCCCTCAGGGAAAAGGCAATGGTTATCTTTCCAATAAACTTTAACTGGTTAGCTGTTCTAGAGTTATCCTCCCTTTCCTGAAACGGTGGGGGAAACCAAAAAAAAAAAAAAAAGAGCAATACTTCAGAGAAAGATAAAGTCAGGATTGGGAATAAAAAGAACTTCATGAGACACTGGAACTTGGGCACACTCAATGGCACCAAGAGCGGAAGAATGTGATGCCTGCTTTAGCTCTGTTACGGTACTCTACACCCCACCACCCGGAATAAAGATAAATCCACCATCTAGTTTCTGGGCCTCTAGCAAGTTCCAGAATCAGCCATAATGAGGCCAGGAGAGGAGATGCTGGCTTTTGTCCGGAATCCCTACACCGGCTTCATCATTATTATAAAGTATTTGTCCTAAGGCGGGAATTTCAAAGAAAGGGAATCCTGTCCTATCCAGCAGTTCTCTGTAGCCAGCACCAGGTTAGAGGCAGAGGGGCAAGGCCGGAGGCCAGGAGGCTCTGGGGCGAGGACCGAGGCCCACCAGCATCTACGGCTCTCCTGTTCCTGCTGCCCCGCCACCTACAAACTCTTTGGGTTATTCTTAAAGGAATCTAGTTTTGATCACAAAAGTGACAAAGGCAAATGAAGACAAGTGCCAGTGACACCGTAGGTCCAAGGCAGGTTTTAACGCAACTACAGGACTGTCTCGAGTCCGGCACAATCACCACTACGCAGAGCAGCCCCAGAGCTCAGGATCTGTTAACTCAACAGCCAAACAGCTCGGTTTTGTTAACTAGGTATTTGCTTGTTCAAGCTAACGACTAACTTTAATTTTATCAAAAACCTCAATTGGAAGGTGACAAACATTAAAAATATAATTTCCTCTACAGTAACTCTAGAAATACATTTTTGTTGACAGTGCCACTTGTGCTGCAAAAGGCCTCAATGCACGGCCACCTGTGAGGAGCTGAACAGGCTGAATTCAGCCTGATGTTGGTCTTTCGTCAGAAGAAGCCCCCAAAGTTTTCATGGACCTATAGGAAGAATCCTTACAGTAAGCATAAAACATCTACTAACAGCCAACAGCAGCATCAGTTAGGGATCACGTTTTATGTTTCAAGTGAGAGACTTCTCCCAAGAGTGATTTATTTTAGACCTTACAGTGAACTTAAAGTTTGGAATAGTTAATAAAATTCTATTTTTTTTAAGGTTAATTCGTTCATCAATTCAATCATGGTGGAGCTCAGATAAAGAACTCCAATTTTACTAGGTGGGGAGCAGCAACGGATAAGGATGGGAAACGGGGCTGGCCTAATTCCAAGGGCCATTTGGCCAAACTCTAAGTTTGTTTACAGAAATATTAGAAATGTGCCACCTCTTCTCACCTCCCAGCCGTCCTAATCCTGTCAAACTCTTCTACTCCTGCCTCCCTCTCAACGTCATTCTTGTGCCCAACTGAAGACTTTTGCTCTGATATTACACATGCCTGAAAATTAACAGGGTAGGAAAGACGGGACCCTCCCTGGGCCTCCGCGGGGTTCTAAACATGGTTCCAAAGGTGACCTGAGTGCCCCGATGTGGTGTGGTGTGATATACTGTAATGTGGCATAGCGCGGTATGGTGTGACGTGGCATGGAGTGATGTAGTGTGATGTGGTGTGGTGTGATGTGGCGTGGCATAGTGTGGTGTGATATGCTGTGACGTGGCATAGCGTGGTATGGTGTGACGTGGCATGGAGTGATATAGTGTGATGTGGTGTGGTGTGATGTGGCGTGGCATAGTGTGGTGTGATATACTGTAATGTGGCATAGCGTGGTATGGTGTGACGTGGCATGGAGTGATGTAGTGTGATGTGGTGTGGCATAGTGTGGTGTGATGTGGCATAGCGTAGTATGGTGTGACGTGGCATGGCGTGATGTGGTATGATGTGGCGTGGTATGGCATGATGTGGCGTGGCGTGGCGTTGTGTGGTGTGGCATGGAAGACAAGGCACACCAGGCCCTGAAGTCTATGATTCTGAGGTACAGCATCAACGGGACAGACACACAGGGTAACAAAAACAGCCCGTGCAAGTCTGCAAGGTCATGTAATTAATGCAATTATAATTGTCCATAATTTCAAAATATGGTTTCTAGCCTTTTCAGCATCATTAAGTCCAGGTTAAAACTGTACTTCTGACTTGACTCTCCTGCACGTTAAACACTTTCATGCAAAGAAACCAGGATGGTTCTAACTAAGTAAAACTCTGGTATCAAGAGAATGCCCTGGGCACAGGTAAGGAGGGAGTCGGCACACCTCTCGGTTACAGGGCACAACTGTAAGCGGAACTCTACCTAAAAAAGGCGAACATTGTAACCTAGTTGTTTATGCCCTCACACGAACTCGAAATTTAAAAAAAAGAAATAAATAAAGAATGCCCAAAGTACTTTCGCCATTTTTTGTACTACCCATGCTTCTAAGTCCCCACTTTTATAATCTATTAAATATGAATTAACTCCAACCCCTCACATTCCAGACCCTTCCATATTCAATCAGATGCCTTAATTCTCAGCCTTTTTTGACAGATACTTTTACAGTCTTAGACCCACGTAACAAGGAACATTTGCAAGGAATCAGATATACTGACCACAGCAGTTACTTTTACAAAAGAGCAAGAGTTAGTAGGACTTTCATTCATCTTCTAAAGACTACATTTAAAACGCATTCATACGCAAGCACAAGCACGGTGAGCTTCAGATAGTGGGATAGCACTCGTATCCCACTCATTAGGAAAACCTAATGGACCAATTACCTCTGCCTGGAGCTCTGAGAACTGAGGAATGCAGGAAGTACCCAAAAGAAAAAACAAAAATGAGTTGCTGAGATTTCCAAAACAACGATTTCTCCAGTAAGCGCTGCATGAGGATTCTGTACACGGGACCTGGACACTGGCTCAGACTACTGGATACAAGGAACAAAACCTTCTAACATAAGACATTAGAGAATAAGACTGCTTATTTTATTATTTTACTTTTATTTGTTTTGAGACAGAGTCACACTCTGCTGCCCTGGACCGACTGCCATGGTATCATAGCTCACAGCGACTTCAAACTCCTGGGTTTTAGCGAATCCTCTCGCCTCAGACTCCTGAGTAGCTGGGACTACAGGCGCCTGCCACCACACCTGGCTAATTTTTCTATTTTTAGTAGAGACAGGTTCTTACTTTTGCTCAGGCTGGTCTCAAACTCCGGAGCTCAAGGGATCCTCCCCCTCAACCTCCCAGAGTGCTGGGATCACAGGTGCGAGCCAGCGCGCCAAGGGTAACCTGCCAGCAGTGGAAAGGCGGCCATTCCCTCACCTGTCGTGTGGACACTGACGTAACCTACTGACCGGGACACAGGGTGACGCCCACAGTGACCTGAGGCTGGCCAGAGGTTCTCTGGTGACTTTTCAGGGCTTGTGGTGCCAAGAACTCAGAAGGCGGCAGGATGACCGCCCACAGCTGAACTGGGGGTGGCGAGCCTGCACCTTCTGTTTTTCCTGACGGGATGTCACCGTTTCTCAGAGGATAGAAAATGTCATGATTGGGGAGGGCAAGAGAGGCTAAAACCTGAAGAGGACAGCACACTGGGGCCACCCTTAATCAGGTATGTGACCTTTTTTTCTTTTTTTCAAGTCGCAAGCTGTCGCCCTGGGTAGAGTGCCGTGGTGTCACAGCTCACAGCAAGCTCAAACTCTTGGGCTTACATGATCCTTTTGCCTCCGCCTCCCAAGTAGCTGGGACTACAGGTGCCTATCACAATGCCCGGCTATTTTTGGTGTTGTTGCTGCAGTTGTCATTGTTGTTTTTTAGCTGGCCCCGGCCAGGTTCAAACCCTCCAGCCCTGGTGTATGTGGCCAGCACCCTAACCCCTGAGCTATGGGCGCTGCTCAGGCGTGTGAACTTTGTGAGTGATGGAACCACAGCCCACAATGTACACCAGGCCAGAGAGAGTGGGGGGACCCACACCCTAATTCCTGGGGTGGCACCAGGACACAAGACCGACGTGGGTGGAAATGAGACCTTTCTTACCTTTGCTAAGTTACTCAGGGACCCCAAGGAATCAAGAATCAGAGGGAAGGTCTTGTTACAGGAACGAGAATGTGTGGTTCTGTATTTTCCCCTGCTAACTCCTGGATCCGACTGGTCCCAGCCCTCCACAGAAATCCCCTCAGAAAGGTCCACAGTGAGCCCCGCAGGGTCACACCAGAGCAGCCTTCTCAGTGCCCAGCGTCCGTGCTGGCTTTAGAGAGTCTGGAAGGACAGCTGCGCAGACCGCTCCTCTCGCACCTCCCCAGATGTGCTCCCTGGGGCCTTCAGTCCTCCCTGGGGGCCCCTCCTCTGGGGCTCCGGCCCTGGGTGTCTCAGCACGTCCCTGAAGGAACTGCCCCTCCCCTCCCGACTCCCCACCCTTTCTGAGCCCTGGCGTCAACTCTGATACTTGAATCCCTCAAAAATGAAACTAAATCATTTCTTCCCCAAACCTGCCTCTGCGCAGCTCACCCTCAGTGAGCTACACTGTCATCCCAAACCTGCCGTCACCCGTCTCCTGCCAGCTTTGGGCTTCCTGTCCACAGGACTCTAGAGACTCTCTCAAACACCTCTGTGTCTCTCTCCCTGCCCTCTGACACCACTTCTCCTCTACCTGCTCTCTCCATCCTCCCACTGAAAACAATTTTTTCACACTCTGCCTTGATTACTGCATACACTTTCACTATATACGGTATCCTAGGGCCAGGTTGAACACCACAGCCAGGAGTGGGGGTTCAGCGGGGCCACTGAGGCTGTCTGGTTCAGCCATAACCACGACCCCGCCCTCTGTCAAGTTGTTCCCTGGTGTCCACCTCCCTGTTAGTCCTCAGGAGGCTCCTCCTCTGCGGGTCCTGCCCACAGACTCCCACCACCCAACTCTCGCCCACACTGCCATGTTCCCCAGGTGCCTCTGCTGTGACTCTTCTGGCCTCGTGGGGCCCGGGCAGCCTGCGGTGAGCAGTGCAGCACTGTCCCCTGCCCTGCAGCCGCCCCCACTCCCTCCATCCTGCTCTGGCTCTGCCTGGGTCACCTCTAAGGGAGCACCTCTGCTCCGCTGCTGTGCTTGCTGGTTCCAATGACACAGAAATGCTCTCTGGGGTAGATCCGTTACTTTCTACCACGTCTCCATGTTAAGTTTGAAGAAACTGGACAAAGACAGAAACTTGGCCAGCTCCTTCCAGGAACTTGAGACATTTGGGTTAAATAAATTTCCCCCCAAAACACAGAAAGTCATGTTTTTTCTTATATTTTCCCTAGGTTATTTGATTTTATTTTTTGAGACAGAGGCTCACTTTGTCACCCTGAGTAGAGTGCCGTGGCATCACAGCTCACGGCAACCTCAAATTCTTGCATTTAAGCCATTCTCTAGCCTCAGTCTCCCAAGTAGCTGGGACTACAGGCACCCACCACAACACCCAGCTATTTTTAGAGATGAGGTCTCGCTCTGGCCCAGTCTGGTCTCAAACCTGTGAGCTCAAGCAATCCACGCACCTCGGCTTCCCAGAGTGCTAGATTACAGGTGTGAGCCACTGCACCAGGCCCCGGTTATTGTATTTACATTTTAAAATCACTCTATGATCAATTTCCCCAAAGCTCTTCTTTCTCCAAGTCATGAACAAGCCTATTCTTGGTCAAATACAAGCAAATACTAACCCTGAGCACACTTACAACCCCCATGTCCACACAGGTCAGCAGTACCCTGGGGACGGCAGTTTGTGTGTCTGGGAACACATATCATTTCAGGCAAACTACGAGTCATCAGGATCTTACAAATGCGCCACTGATTCACCAACTTCATTCTGACATTCTCCTTATGTTTTCATAAGGAAAACGCCAAAAACACAAAAACAGTATAGATCAGTTAACAACAGTACAATAAACCCCACTCAGCCTTAATAATTGTTATGACACAACTTATCTCCTCTGATCCAGTCCTACTCCTCCCACCCAGACTATCTGCAAACATCCCCTCACATCACACCATCTCACGTGGCAGCATCCACCACGGCCCTCCCCGGGGCTGCGATACCAGCTCAGAACGGGCTGCACACAGCTGACGGCACCAACGGCCACCCGGCCCCCTCAGAACCACAGGCACAGACTGTGACGTGGGACATCCAGGTCCGAGTGCCAGCCTCTTTTAAGTGAGAGTCATCTATGCTTAAAACTCTGTTAAATGGGGTAAGCTTCGTTTAAGGAAATAAAATCCACCTCAAGATTTCTGTTCCCTTACTCTTCTTTCCTCTAACAAATAATATTAAGTTTTCGGCATAATTTTCGTACTTCTCGCATGTTTTTCAATCACTACGTCAATACTTCACCATTGAAATCTGATTTGAAGTTCCTTTCTGACAAAAATAGGAAAAATATGTTAAACAAAAATATAAACTTTAGCCAAAAAAAAAAAAAAATGGTTTTCAACCCAGACAGTAAGGAGGCCTTGTAAGCCTTACTTTAACTGGTGGAGTGAAGAAGTGAACTCTAAACGCCTCCCAATAAACCTCACGTAGGGCAAATGAGTAGGAAAACGCTGGCATGAGAATAGAGTACGTGATATTTGAGAAGATGAAGGTCAAAGGGAAAAGCCCAGAACGGACTGGAATAGTCACACACACTCACCTTGTTGCTGCTGAGACTAGAGGACGGAATGAGGTCTTGTCGGCTTCCAGACAACTGAGGAAGGAAGACGGGAGGGTCAGTCCTTCTTGTGCTGATGTACATGACACACTGTCCAGGGCTCTGACCACACGGTCAGCTGGGTGTCAATGCTGGAAGGCAGCAGCGAGGTCACTAAGACCAGGGCTGCAGATTTTAGTGGCTTTGGGGACACTAAAAACAATGACTCGGTTACTAACAATTCTCAGGTGAAGGTTCCCATGAGACCTGGACACTGGGTTTACACTCAGGCGACCACAGGCTGGACCTGAGAACACGTTTCATTTGCTGCCCTGGGTTATCTCACCAGGGCCCGAGCGTATGGTTCCTTTCTCAGAGTATCTGTAAAAAATGTAAACTCACAAACTTCATTTCAAACTATCAGATTCCAAATTCCAAGACTCTGTGTGGACCCAGCATACTTCAACGTATCATTTTCTGAAGCAATGAGAAGATATTTACCTTAAATTAAAGTGGCATTTCTAACTGAGAATGGTCCTGATCTTTCTGAGGTGGCCAGGATGTCACTCTGTAGTCACTGCGTGGCCCATGGGGGTCTTAGGCAGGAAATCCCCCTATCGCCCACACTTTTCCCTCCAACCCCAGGCTACAGTAAGCTGTTCCTCCTGACACTTCATTGCAACTTTTCTTCTAAACTGTGACTATTTTTCATATCTACATCTTAACATTTTTTTCATATCTGCGTCTCTACCAAAAATGAAAAAAGCAAAGAACCAAGAGGCACAAGCATATTTCTTTATGAAGAATTATTCCCATGTTCAATGTATCTATAAATTAATCTACATTTTAAAAGACAACAAATGACTTGCCACCACCATTATGAAATGAACATGGCCTACTTTACTCATTTATATTATCCTGCATGGCCTGTGAGCAACCAGACTTTTTCTTAATTTAAAAATGATTAATTAAAGCCCAGAAAATGTAACTGACTTGTCCCGGGTACTCGGCTAGTTCTCGTTAGTTCCACAAACATTCACTGTTCACCTACAGTCTACGTGAGCCCGTGATGACTGGGAGATAAACGGGGACCATCTGAAAGGTACTTCAACAATCTGTCCCCGAAAACAGCAGCAGGAACAGGGGTGGAGGGACGCAGACACCCCAGGAAGGAAGGGAAATCTGAGGTGAGATTTAAAGGTCATAGAAGAGGCTCGGAGCCTGTAGCTTGGTGTTTAGGGCTCCAGTCACATACACCAAGCTGGTGGGTTCAAACCCAACTCGGCCCTGCTAAACAACAATGACAACAAACAACAAAAAAACAGCCGGGCGTTGTGGCTGGTACCTGTAGTCCCAGCTACGTTGGAGGCTGAGGCAAGAGAATCGCTTACGCCCAAGAGTTTGAGGTTGCTGTGAGCTGTGATGCCACAGCACCCTACAGAGGGCAACATACTGAGGCTCTGTCTAAATACACAAACAAGGCTCAGCACCTGTAGCTCAAGCGGCTAAGGCGCCAGCCACATACACCAGAGCTGCCAGGCTCGAATCCAGCCCGGGCCTGGCAAACAACAATGACAACTACAACCAAAAAAAAGAAACAGCCAGGCGTTGTGACGGGCGCCTGTAGATACAGCTACTTGGGAGGCTGAGGCAAGAGAATCGCTTAAGCCCAGGAGTTGGAGGTTGCTGTGAGCTATGATGCCACAGCACTCTACTGAGGGCAACACTAGAGGCTGTGTCTCAAATAAACAAATAAATAAAAATAAGCAAGCAAACAAATAAATAAAATAAAAATAAAGGTCACACGAGAGAGACTGGAGTAAAGAGAGAAGGGGAACCCCGGGCAGAGCGGGAAGCGAGGCCCCAGAGACTCACTCTGTTCACGCTGGGAGAGCTGATGCTCCTCCTGCTCAGCTTCCCTTTCCCTGTTAACTGTTCCTTCACCGCGACGTCCTGTGAACCAGAAAACACACACAGGACGAGGCTGCGTGAAACACCCCGCAAAGCAGCACCGTCCACAGCAGGCTCGGGCCCACCAGGCCCAGACATTCCTGGTTTATTTAAATAACGGCTGCTGCCTTACATGACAAAATGACCCACTTATGGTCCCTCTGGATTACTCGATGTGAATTCTAGCCAACTCTTCAAAAGTTTAGAGGCAGCAATACAGTGCATTACAGAGTCAGCCACAGCCCCGACTGCCGGGCGGGCGCTGCGGCTACCTGGCGCAGACGGTCCAGGGTGAGGAGGTTCTCCACGGCCAGCACGCTCCGCAGGTACTTCTCGATGTGCGCCTCCGAGGCCGCCGAGGCCGGGTTCTCCACGTTGGCAGCCATTCTCGCCAGAGCTTCTCGCTCCTCTGCTCCCTGGGCGTCCTGGGAACGGGAGGGTGTGTGTTAAGCTGTTGCTGAAGGAAACATCAGATAAGCTCCTGATGTGCTCACACAGTCTGAGCCAACAGGATGCGGCCCAAAATTCCACTGAAAGGCAGCTCCTCTTGGAACTCAAAATGCATTTTCCCAAGAAATAATGGAATGGTAATTAGGCTACTAGGTTAACTTGAAAAGCTAAACACACCAGAGCTAAAACACCGCACATTCTCAACAAAACTGTTCTCAATTCCCACTGCAAAGCCCCTGAACAACAAAACCATTACTGGGTCAGAAAGGATTTTGCAGGCTAGCAAAAACTAGAACCACTGTGACAGCAGGATCTCGGGAACACATTTCCTGCCCGAGCCCTTTCCCCAAACTCCTGAAGAGTGAGAGAGAAGCCAGAGTGACGTGGAGGTGGGATCCCCACCCTCTGGCAGGAGGGGACAGCCAAGAAACAAGGTTTCAGCTCCTCCTACTACTAAGCAGGCCCTGCAGACCACCCGCTTGGGACCTGGCAGCTTCTAAAACTGGTCTCAATCCTCAACTCTGGAGGGGGGAGAGGCCAAAGGCTCCAAGTTGAGCAAGAAGAGACGTAAACAGGGAAATTCTTACTGAGCTTTCCGGGAGAGCCCATCCACCTCGCTCCTCCTAAATGAGCTGGCTGTGCACGTCAATGGCACAGTCACACGTCAGTGAGGGACTTTACACAGGTATTTGATTATTTCAAGCCAAGTAAGTTCATAGCAAATTATTATTCTCAGGGAATACCAGATATTTTATTTACTTGTGTGTTCTGTACAATAACGTCAAAACTATAACAGGCACTCCACACACCACTGCATCTCAAGTGCCATCAACTGGAAGACAAAACCTAAGAAAAAACTGCCAGTCAATTTTAGGATGTCATCAATTATAAGATACATTCTAACTTCAAAAATATGTATTTCTTTTGAGACAGAGTCTCATTCTGCCCCGCCTGGATAGAGTGCTGTGGTGTCATAGCTCACAGCAACCTCCCACTCACAGGCTCAATCAATCCTCTTCACTCAGGCTCCCAAGTAACTGGGACTACAGGCAACTGCCACAATGACTGACTTTTTCTATTTTTATTTTTTCTTTTAGTAGAGATGG